CTTTTCTTGAAGAATGTGATCCTTACTGATCCCCATCATCTCAGAGGTTTCAGTTTAGACATCATTTCCAAGACGATTAGGTAGCATTCCTCTACACGCCCACCGTAATCTGCACCTACTCTTTTACTCCACTATTTTACCTTATTATAGCTATCTACTTATGAAACGGCACATGCCTTAATAACTTACTGTATCCTCTAAACACAGAAAATTACAGAGCCTCAATAGACTTTTCAATTTCTACTTTAATACTATCTAGATAGATAACTGTGTCAGTTAACCATACCTTTTGCTAGTTATTTGACCTTAAAGGAAAACAGATTTTAAAATACCTCCCAGTTTCATGAATGTAAGTATACAAAAAGATCTGCAAAGGCTCAATCTGGAGACTATAATGACAGCATCCACAGGAGAAAATCTTAGAAACAGAGGAGCCATTCATGTGATTAAAGATACTTTTTTTACTTCTGAAAGAAATACTCTGAGGTGCTACTTGGTTTATAAATGTTTATCTATATGAAAATACACTCAAGTTAAAAGTCATACAACTAAAACAATCCAAGCTCCACCTCCCAAAGTCTACTATGATGAAAGGGCTCGGCTCTCTTACGAAATTTGAGAAACTCATGTGCCGCCTGGAACACAGTTCCAGTGACTTGCCAAAGGGCAAGCATTCGAGATGTTAAATGCCATCACTCGGTTTCTATGTACTGTGCATCTGTTTGTCAGTTTGTTTACACTTTAGCTAATGCTAAAAAATTTCCTTAAAAAAAGGAAAAAAGGGCTGAAGATTTGGCTCAGTGCTTCCGCCACCTGCACTGCAAACTGAAGGACCAGAGTTCGATCCCTGGTGAAGAAGAAGAAGAAGAAGAAAGAAGAAGAAGAAAGAAGAAGAAGAAAGAAGAAGAAGAAAGAAGAAGAAAGAAGAAGAAAGAAGAAGAAAGAAGAAGAAAGAAGAAAGAAGAAGAAGAAGAAGAAGAAGAAGAAGAAGAAGAAGATCAAGGACCAGAGTTCGATCCCTGGTACCAAAAAAGAAGGAAGAGGAAGAGGAAGAGGAAGAGGAAGAGGAAGAGGAAGAGGAAGAGGAAGAGGAAGAGGAAGAGGAAGAGGAAGAGGAAGAGGAAGAGGAAGAAGAAGAGGAAGAGGAAGAAGAAGAAGAAGAAGAAGAAGAAGAAGAAGAAGAAGAAGAAGAAGAAGAAGAAGAAGAAGAAGAAAAAATTCCTCCTACATTTCTGAAAGGTAGTTAAAAAAGTCAGAGACATTTTGATTGAAGTTTGTACCTTCATTTTTTCATGTAATATTTATTGACTGTTTTTGTATGTCTCACTAGGTTTCATTCTAGCAGTAAAGAAGCAAAATGACAAAGAAAACATGAAAGAAGTCAAATAACATTAAATTGTCTGAAGAAAAACACAGAAAGGTAAGAGAAAAAGAGAAGATGGAACATGATCATTTTCTGATGAAGCGGGTCAGAGAAGACCTGTCTGAAAAGCAATTATTTAAGAACTCTGAAACAAGTGAACAAGGAAACCTCATGGATACCTCAAACACAGGACAAAGGCAATAACTATAAGCCTTAAGAACACAAAGCCAGTGTAAATAAAGATGAAGAGAAATATAGAGCATACTTGAAGTAAAATGGAGCCACTTCATGTAGAGCCATGTATACTTCTAGCTATTACCTTAAGAGAGGAGGGAAGCCTTGGAAGGTTTGGGGCACAGGTAACATCATTCAGTTTTGAAAAGACCATTCTGGCTATTACTAGAGACTTTCATGGGAAAGACTTTAACAAATAATTGCATTCTTTTGCAAAAGATGATGGCCTTAGCTTTAATCAGGGCAGCAGAGGCAGAAATGGTAAAGTGGCTGAATTATGGATATTTTGAAAGTGGAGTTAACCAGATTTTTCAAGTTGCTATTGATTGAGATGGCAAGATTATAAAAGAAGTGGCTCTGAGAGGATGAAAATCAAGATCTCTATTTTGGACTTTGCCTGTTTTGGACTTGTCAACTTTGACAAGTTGATATCTAACTGTTAGATCAATAAACCTATAGCTAAGGTGGTTTGTCATTGCTGGAGATGGAAATGTGAGTTGTAAGGATACAGATAATAAGGTTCTTACCTGGAGAGAAAGGATAAAGATGGCCTTAGGACTGGTCTGGGACATTCCAACATTTACAGTAAACTGAGGATTTATTTAAACAATCTTGCTTTAATGAGCCACAAATCACTTGATACATTTACCCTTGCTCCATTTATAGTAATATACCTGAAAATATAGCCTTAATGTTAGAGATAGGAGAAGGAAGTAATTACCAAACATGAGAAATCTGAAGTTACTGAGAAACTGCTTTGAAATCATTTAAAAAATTAAGTCTAAACACATACAAAAATACTACCACACAGTATCTGCAAATTTAAATAAAATCCAGGCAGAATAAACATATGATCAAATAAAAAGATCATATATTTATGACATTATTCTGTTAGCTAAGCTACAAATGGGTATCCAGCTGTTAAAAAATTTGTCTTTTGCTTTTCTTAGCATCCAAGGAAATGGCAACAAAGAATCCCTTAAAACTAGACATAGATTCCACATTTAAAAAAAAAAAAAATTACTATTTTAAATGCACTCAAAGTGGTATCTATATTATATTTAAAAGGCACTCAAGATAGGCCAAATGCAAATATTTATTAAAGTGCCAATAGAAATCAAGCTTTAACAAAGGTGCAATGCTGTCATTAATAAATCAACCTCTTTAATTCTTTCTTAAAATTAAGAGTATTTCATAACCTATTTTGAAAACTAAGGCATGTAAATACTATGGTAGAACAATCCTGGATCTACTCACCTTACTAAAGTGCAGACTATGGGTTCTACAAGTATAGGAACACATGAAATGGTGTCAGATGTGAAGGTTTAAGAGCTACATTTCCAAAGCACCATGGCTAGGACCCTTGCTCTGATGAGATGACACAGGAAGTCTAACCTGCTACTACACTTTAACTCAGTTCTGTTAAACAGTATGAAAGCATCCTTTATGCAACCTGGACTTATCACCAGAAATTCACATGAAACCTTATGACAAACATCCCATCATGCCTCACAATATCATCATCCTTAGCTTTTACTACCCATTCATTTCCTTTATTCTTTGCCATTCTTTATCCTTAACTTATCTTCTAACATTCCACTAAGTTCTCTAAAAGCTCACTTCATGTAACTTGTTCCTTGTTAAATAATAGCCTTCAATCTCATTGATTTCACTAAATCCTGGCTTTTTTTTATTATTCTGAAACCCTTTTATGTACGATGTCAAGACTCCTAAAACCAGTTAAGTTCACCATCATTTTTCTAAATTCCTTGCATTAAAAAATGTCCACTGCCCCAAACAAAACAAAAAGCAATTACAATATGAGATTCATATAATGCACCTGAATGCCTATGGTTTTCTTCTCTGTTCTGGTAAATTATACTCAAAGGCTAAAGGCTTCCTTTTACTTCCCTCTGCCCCATGACACCATTAGTAAAAAGACTTTAAAATGTCTGTGTTGGGCCAGGGATTTAGCTCAATGGCACCAAGCTTGCTTGGTAAGTGCAAGGTCCTGAGTTTAAACCCCAGTAGAGCAAAAAAATAAAAATAATAAAAATTAAATGTCTGTGTGCATATTCTAGTTCAACTCTAATCTTCCAAAATATGTGCCTTCATTTTATTTCAATTTATCACTTTTCTATCCTAGGCATATTAAACATTCACACTTTGATCACTGTTATTTCATTTATCCAAGAGTATTCATGCCAATCTTTTTGACATATTGAGACTTTTTTCCTAATTTATTTTTAATTGACAAGAATTGTACATGTTTTGAAATACATATACATTGTGTAATGGCTAGAGTAAGTAAGGTAATATATGAAATGCCTCACATACATAGCATTAAGGTGAGAATATTTAAAATTTACTTTCTTAGCAATTTCTAAGACATACATTATTAAACTGCAGTCATCATGCTGTGTAATAGAGCCCTTGAACTAACTTCTACTGAAGTGAAAATTTATATTCTTTGACTACCATCTCTGTAGCCCCTGGTAACCAATACTCTTCAGTCTACTTCTGGAATATCAACATTTTACATTCCACATATAAGTGACATCACAAAGTATTTGTCTTTCCGAGTCTGTTTTATTTGACTTTAACACACTAACCTATCTATCCATATTGTCAGAAAAGACAGGATTTCATTCTTTTATGACTGAACTGTATTGTGCATATGCATATTTCCTTATCTACACATCCACTGAATACTTAACTGTATTTTGACCCTTGTGAATAATATTGCAATGAATATGAGGGAGCAGATATCCTTTACACAGTCAGTGTGGTGACTGAATCATAGTAGTTGTATTTTTGTTTTCTAACAGTGGGGTTGGTGAATCATGGTAGCTATTTTCAATTTTTTGAGGAACTTCAACTCTCTCTCCCCTAATCACTATACTACATTCTTACCAACTATGAGGAAAAATTCTTTCTCCACATTCTCACCAATATGAACAATCATTTTTTCACAATAACCACTTTAAACAGGAATGAGATCATATCTTATTCCTAAGTGACTAAAGATGTCAGCATTTTTTAAATTTACTAGTTGGTCATCTTAATGACTTCTTTCAAGAAATGACTATTTAGATCTTTGGACCATTTCTTAACTGGGTATTTACTTTCCTACTATTTAATGTTTAAATTCCTTATATATTTTAGACATTAGCTTCTCAGATGTGTAACTTGCAAATGCTTTCTTTCATTCCCTTGGATGTCTCTTCACTCTGCTGATTACATCCTTGGCTTGTGCAGAAGCTCTGTAGTTTGATGCAATCCCATTTGTCCATTTTTGTTTTTGTTGTGTATGAACTGGGGAGACGGCCCAAAAACTCACTACCAGCAGCAATGTTAAAGAGCTTTTCCTTGTCTTCTAGTACTTTTACAATTTCAGATCTCACATTTATGTTTTGAAACATTTTGAGTTGAGTTCTATACTGGTTATAAGAGTCCAATTTCATGCTTCTGCATGTGGAAACCCAATTTTCCCAAGATCCTCTGTTGAACAGATTGTCCTTTCTTCCTCTTTTTATGCTCTTAGCACCTTTGTCAAAAAGTAACAGTAAGTGTGTGGATTTCTAGTTTACTATGTTGCATCTGTCCATATGTATTCTTATGTCATGCTTATCTGATTATTCTAACTTTGGTATTGTATTTTCAATCAGGTAGTATAATACCTCCATCTTTTTTTAAATTCAAGATTGCTATGGCTAGTCAATGTCTCCTGTGGTTTCATATAAATTTTAGGGTTTTTTTTTCTGTGAAACAATAACACTGAAACCACCACACACACAAACACACACACATACACACACACACACGCACGCACGCACGCACACACAGAGGGGATTCAATCCAGGGCCTTCACACTGAGCCACTTCCCTATGCTTTTTTTTTTTTTTTAATTTATTTTGAGAAATAATCTCACTAAGAAACTAAGTTGCCCAGGCTGGCACTGAACCTGGCGATTCTCTTGCTTCAGCTTCTCAGGAACTGCACTGATACTATCTTTGAAAAATCCCAATTTTTGTTTTGCAGTTTCTTTTATTTTTTATTTCTCCATTTCACTTCTTTTTCTTTTCTTTCTTTTTTTTGGTACAGGGATAGAACTTGCACTTGCAAGTCAAGCAGCAAAAGCACTGAGCTCTGGCCCTATTTCACTCATTCTGCTTTGATGTTTTTCTTTCCATCAAATAACTTTGGAATTAATTTGTTTTTTTTAATTCTTTTGGCGGGTGCAACATTAGATTGTTTATTTGAGATCTTTTTTTGATGCAGCCATTTGTTACTATAAAGTTTCCATCCTAGAAATGTTTGTACTGCAACCCATGCTGATATTTCCATTTTTGTCTCAAGATATATTTTTAATTTCCCTTTTCTTTTTGTGCCCCACTAGTTGTTCAGAATTACACTGCTAATTTCTATATATGTATTTTCTGAAATTTGTGTTATTACACATCTCGTGTCATATTATAACTAGCAAAGATATTTGATACGATTTCAATCAATTTAAATTTGTCAAGACTTGTTCTGTGGCTTAGCACATGACCTACCCAACAGAATATCCCATGTTCTCTTGAGAAGACTGTTCTGACAATGTTAGATGGAATATTCTACATATGCCCCTTACACCCATCCACTTGCACTAGTGTTGTTTAAGTGATGTTTCTATACTGATTTCCTTTCTGGATAATCACTGTTAAGAGTAGGGTACTGAAGCATCCAACTATTGCTGTATTATAGTCTATCACTTAAGATCTATTAATATTTGCTGTATATATTAGGTACTTTCGGGTACTCTTAAAGTTGAATACACATATATTTACAACTTATCTTCTTGATAAATCAACTCCTTTGTCGTTACATAATGCCCTTTTTATTGTTTTTTATCTTTTATTTCACATCTGTTGTTATCTAAATGAAGCTATTCTTGCTCTCTTTTGGTTTCTATTTCCACCAAATACCTTTATCTTTTTACTTTTAATTCATGTATGTTCTTAAAGGTAAAGTTAGTCCCATGTAGGCAGTACATATATGATAGTTGGTTCCTATTATATTAGCCACCCTTTGTGTTCTGAAGAATTTAATCTACATGCAAGTCAATTACTTGTAAGTAATAAGAACTACTGCCATTTTGTAAGGAGTTTTTTTGGATGTCTGAGAAAAATCCTTTATTCCTTCTTCTGATAGTGTCCTGTGTGCTAGATTACTTTTCTACTGGTATGCTTTTAAAGTGTGTGTGTGTGTGTGTGTGTGTGTGTGTGTGTCTGTGTGTGTGAGTGTGTGTTACTGAGATTGCACCAAAGGATTTCCACTGAGCTACATCCCCAGCAGCTTTAAAAATTTTTTTGAGACAGGGTCTCATGATGTTGCTAAGTTGTATTCTGAGTTAATCTGTGTATTTACATTTACAACTAAGTTTTACACTATGTTCTCATGCTACCAATAGTGTGCTTTTCTTCAAGAATTCCCTTTCTCTTATAAAACAGGTCTAACGATAGTAAATTGTTTTCTTTTTCATCTCTCTTTAAAGTCTTTTTCTATCCATTACTTCTGAAGAAAAGCTTTGCCAGGTAAATTATGCTTGCTTGGTAGCTTTGTATTTTGTCCCCCCACCCCCACCCCTTCTGCAGGTTAAATGTACTATCCCATTCTCTTGGTCTGTGAGATTTCTGCTGAGAAAGATGCTCCTAGTTTTATTGCAACTCCTTTCTATATAAAATACTTTTCTCTTGCTGCTTTCTGAATCCTCTTGGACTTGTTTTTACAAAGTTTACAGTATGTCATGATGTGGTCTTATCTGATCTGAACCTTAATACAGACCTTTCACTTTTTTGCATGAGCTCTTTTCACTATTATTTCTTTAAATTAGCTGTATCTTTGGTGAACTCAAACATTTCTTCCTTGGATGCTATCCTATAAAATCCCATTAAGTGTTCCTCATTCCTTTTCAATCTTTTTCCTTTAATTTCATCTGACTGTGTATTTTCAAATAACTATACTCTGGTTTCCTTCACATATAAAGCTTTCACCTTTTACAAGTAACTTATTTTCATGCTCAAGATTACTATTGTATTTGATCAATGCTGCTGCTGCTCTCTTCTGTATTTTTCATTTCATTCACTGTATTTTTCAGCTCCTGGGTTTGTTTAAATTTTTAAAAATATAATTGCAATCTTGCTTAAATTTCTCATTATAGTTGTTTATTGTATTCATGATTTCTTGGGATTATTTACTTCTCTGTAGCTTTTTAAAACTTTACTCAACTTTGAATTCTTTATCAAACAGCTCATAAATGTTCACTTCTTTAGGATCAGTTATTGGCTGTTCATTTTGCTCCCTTTGTGGCATCAATTGTGACTGCTCTTGATCCTTGCAGCCATGTATTAATGTCTGTACATTTGAAAAAGCAGGAACTTATTCCAGTCTTTGCAGACAGACAGCTATCTCAAAAAGCCATATCTGTCCTGAGATTTTACGCATGCCATTTGATGTGGTTCATGGTCAGGACTGCTACTTGAGTCCTTGAGAAGAATACCCTGGTTCCTAAGGTCAGCACATAAGAAAGCCTGGAGCCTGTGTCCAAAAGGCTGGATATGAAGCCTGGATCCACTGTGGTGAACCTACTGATGGGGACTACGAGGGTAGGCCTGGAGCATGTATCTACAGGGGGCTGGGTTTGATGATCAAGTTGACAAGACCTAACCTAAAATGGGGTGGACCTACAGCCTGAGCATACAGAAGGCAGGCAGTCAGGTGCTGGGGTGGACCTGGAACCAGGTACAATGGGACAAGCCTTAAGCCTGAGACCACAGGTCTAGAGCCTGGGACTGCAAGGGAGGTCCCAGAGTCTTAGTAAGCAGGTACAAGATGGATAAGAGTGTCTACTAAGATGGGTCTGCACCCTAAGTCCAACAGAACCTGGAGTCACAGAGAATGGCCTAAAGTTTGGGGCCAGACTATTTCTTAGGTAAATGTAAAGTTTGGTTCCAGAGGAGCCAGCCTGAGGCCAGGTGTAGGGGTGCTGCCCACAGCCAAGAGTTCACAAAGGTTAAAGTAAAGTCCTGAGGCCACAGAGGCTGACCTAACACCAGAGTCCATAAGGATGATCCTGGAGCCTGGATCCAACCAGAGCCAAGCACTGAAGTCTAAGACAGGCCTGAACCCTGAGCTTGCTGTAGTATAGAACCACAGGGGCCAAGACGGAGGGTGAAGCTGAGGATGAACTGCAGGAAACAGCCTGGCACTAAGCAGGCCTGGAGCTGGGGGTTATGGAATCTGGTCTGGCAGTATAGAGGCCCTGGAGACCCATTTTGTAGGTAGTAGAATGGAGTCTGTAAGTAGAGAGCCTACTGGATCTCACTGGGGCAGTTCTAGTGTTGAGGTATACAACAAAGTCCAGTGCCTAACTTTCTCTTCCCAAGGAGAATGTGTTTTTCGATACTGTGCTGCTCAAGGTTGAGGGAAGAGGTGGCGCACTGGTACTGTGCAACTGTCTCTCCTACCCTCTTACCTGGTTTCAATTGCTCTTGTGAAGATATTTTTGTCAATGGATAGCTGTTCCAACTGATGCTTCTGCAGTGGGACAAGTGCTGTGAAATCATTTTCTACCATCAGGACCTCACAACAAGTATCTCTGTTAATAATCCAACACACTGGGCAGGCACCACCATCTTTTCAACTATGGCCAGCATCAAGAGCTATATAAAACTTTGTCCACACCATTGTCAATATCCTCTACAAGGGCCACTGTACACAGTTCTGGTCCATCGACCCTGATACTCAAGCTAGAATATCAAAGTCTCTGGCTACTGGAGAAAAGTCTTTAAATTCTAAGTATGACAAGCTTTCTAATCCCAGTTAGCCACTCAGTACAGACTTTCAACTTTCTCTGGTCTACTTTTTCACCAATAACTCTCAATAACCTGTTAAATTTTCAATATTTTCAACTCCCCAAAATGAACCCTCTATTTATTAGTGTTCCCAGAAATTTTACAAAGAACTTCACAAAAAGTTATGTTGTCACTAAAACTGCATTGAAATACCCACTACCTCATATCCACTCAGATAACCATCAAAAAATAAAAATAAGCATATGTAAATGGTTGCAAAGATAAAACTGGAACCCTTGTACACTGCTGGTAAAAATGTAAAATGGTGCAGAAACTATGGCAAACAGTCTGACAGTTTCTCAAAAACTGTTTTAATATAGGCTCCAGAAATTCCATTTCTGAGTATATACCTTAAAGAATCTAAGGTCTTAAAGCATACACCAGCAACTGTTGAAACATGAAAACAACCCAAGCATCCACTAACAGATAAATGAGTAAGCAAAACAAGGTTTTTACTGACCCTAACCAAGGAAGAAAATTCTGACATGCTACAACAGTCAGGATCCCTGACTGAAATAAGCCAATCACCAAAAAGATAAAAAAGTATAGAATTGCAACTACAACATTCAGGATCCCTGACTGAAATAAGCCCATCTCCAAAAAGATAAAAAAGTATATAATTCCAAGTAAATGAGGTACTTAAAGTAGCCAAAAAAAAAAAACCAATCCAAAAGTAGAATGTTGGTTGCCAGGGGCAATAGAAATGGATAATTATCATTTAATGAGTACAGTTTAAGTACTGCTAAATGAAGAGTTCTCACAATGACTACACAATACTATCATACATAACATCATTAAACGTACGCTTCTATGGTAAAAAATGTTGTATTTATTTTACAATTTTAAAAAATTAAACAAGAATTACATGGTCACATACATTTAAAAATGTATTTTATAGTCCTTTCTTGGAGATTTATAATATACACAAGCATTTAAAAAATTGCCTCTATTTTCAGAAAAGAAAATCTTGACTTTGTCAACCTCATCCACAAACACATTTAAACATCACATATCTATCTTTACCCCTTGCTAATTTCAGGAGTCTTTCCTCTTTTCTAAGCTCAACTGCTACACCAGTATTTTTCAATCAAACCCTTATTATTCTACAAAAAAAATATTTCTTTGGTAATTATCACCTCTAATATATTAAAACTTCTTAACTCTTTAACAACCAATCACTAAGCCTGTTAAGGCTGAAGGCCTGGTCACCTAATACCATGTTTCCTGTCAAATCTGTTTCTCTACAACAAGTTATTAAAAAATATGTCTGAGTTGGTACTCCCTATTAAAGAAATTCTGTGTGATTCCCAAATAACTGAGATACAAGCCAAAATCCTGCACACAACATGCAAGGCCCTACCTAGCCTTTTCCAACTACCAAAGCTTATCTTTTCACTTTTCCTAACTTTTGGTCACTCTGATCTGAAAGTCTTAAACTGCCTACTGTTCTCTACATTTAGTACGCTGCTTGATAATTTGCTTATGCTTCTGCCTGAAAGAATCCTGTTCATACTTTCAGTTGCCTAACTCCTGGTAACACTTCAAGATGTAACCTAGCCTTACCTAATGACCCCAACTTTCCTGCCATCTGGACTGGGTTCCAAATACATAGTGAGTCATCTGGTACTTCTTTGTGATCCCACTGTTTCCTGAGCACCACTATACTTCAGTGAATGAAAAAAACTGTGATTTGGTATTTTTCATTCTGAGTGACTTACACCATAAATTTCTCCACAGTAAGAACTCTCATGCTCCTTTGTATTTAGTTGATGTTTTACACATAGCAAGCACAGAGGCCACTAAATTCCATTCTTTCCCCAGTGGTCTTCCTACTTCCCCACAACTGCTAAGGGAGCAAAAAGACAAAAGAATCAGAATATGCCAATTATCTATCTAGTTGTAGCCATCTAATGACTTCTTGCCCAAGTTTTAGAGGGAGTTAATAGGGGAATATAGGTATGTTCCTCTCTCTCGACATACATTTAAATCATTACTTTCTTCTACTTGGAAATTATTTTCAAATAATGCATTTAAAGCAGTCTAGGGCAACTGAAAAGATACCACAGCCTCAACTAAGTTATACTTACATTCGGCTAGCTTCAATGTCGTCAGACTGGGGTTCTCCTGGTGACCTGCAAAATGTAATTGAGGCAAAGTCAGAAAATATTCTATATTCCAAAAAGGGATAGACACATAACTTAAGGGAAGATATATTTGAAAACAAGACCCAATCACTAATTAAAAGAATTTTTTAAATAATTAAAGACTTCAACATGAAAAAAATTGGTCAGCTTAGATTGCCATACATTTATTTTAAGTGCTGGACTAATAAACTCAATGCTTTTTCTTAAAAAAGGCAATTACAAACACCATCTTCAGTATATCAACAGAAGCAATACAATCCAAAATTATTCACAAAGTCAAATGTGTGTGATAATGAAATTCTCTAGAGCCAAATATTTTATTATCCACATTAAATGCAGTGGTATTCATAGTCTGAAATTTTAGATAAAGGGGTCAGCAAACTATAGCATGGACAAACTGAAGCTTGGGCCAGCCACCTGTTTCTGTCTTTCATTTAGGCATTTCTCATGGCTATTTTCACAAGAATAGGGCTGAGTACTTGTGCCCACAAAACCTCAAAGATGATGTGATCCTTTAAGAAAAAACTTGACAACCTGTGCTCTACTTAATTCCAACTAAAATCTAAGCCTTGGTGAATTCTGAACACTTGTATCAGATGTTCCATTCTGACCATGATGACGCTGGTTCAACAATGAAATTAGGTTTCCACAAAAAATACATTGGCGTTTTATACTAATTGTCGGAAGTATATCATCTGGGATATTAATATTCTACTCTTTTTTTTTTTGGAGACAGGGTCTCACTATGTAGTTGAGACTGACCTGGAACTCACTATGTAGTCCAGGCTGGTCTCCAACTCACAGCAATCCTCCTGCCTCAGCCTCCCGAGTGCTGGGATTACAGGCGTGTGTCACCCCCTCAGCTAATATTCTACTGTAGAAAATTGTGAATTAACTTTAGTTTTAAATCACTGCCAACTATTACCTCCCGAGTGCTGGGATTACAGGCGTGTGTCACCGGCTCAGCTAATATTCTACTGTAGAAAATTGTGAATTAACTTTAGTTTTAAATCACTGCCAACTATTTTCTTTATTTTCTGAATATACTGTAAGTGTCTTACAAAGAAATATTCAAAATTCTAAATAATTAAGCTTTCATTTCCATTTTAGTGGACATGAATCAGTTTTCCTTATTCCTATCACATTGTTAAAAATAAATAAATGTTACCTTCATTCTTATAAGCAGCATCAGTTTGTGTAACAGTTAATATTCAAAGGACAATCAATAGAATACCTATTTCAAACACTTTCAAATTGCCAAATGAGAAAAAAGTTTAGGGGAAAAGCTAAATTTTTAAAGGAAAGACTCTTAAAATCAAGAGTCACTAGTACAGTAGAAATCTGTTTTCTAATTTCTTACTTTAAACAAAACACTTCTTTAGAAGACTTTCAAAAATACACTTACTGCAATTCATTCAGATTCGAAGAATGAAAAGATTAAAAATTTTAAAAGGCCCCCAGCCACTTAAATATTTAGATCTTTGTACTATATTTATATTTTCAATTTTGCACCAAATTATGTAAGAACTAAAAGGGGCCTGCTTCTGGTGGCAGTGAAACTAATGCAAAAATTTTCTCCATCCTCTCCCCCAGAGAGCAAACCAAACACCTCTGGGACACACCTGGTCTCGGCCAGCCTTGGGGGTAAAAGTACCCAAGAATGCTTCCAAGAATGCATCTCCTAGACAGAAGGGCTAAAAATGCTGATAACCCCTTGTATCAGCTGACTCACTTTTGAAAATGCAGCCCTCCACCATCAGATGTCATACTGTAAGGAAGCACAGCTGGCTTGCAAAACAAAAAATAAACCTGTTGGCACTGAGAAAACAGAGGCAGATTAGAAGCTTTTAAACATACAGGCAGTAAAAGTTTCAAAATTAACAGAGAAAGAGAAAAATGTGAGGATATGATGACAGGGAAAAAAATATTACTGGAAAAAGGGAAGACATGAGGAAGAAGGAAAACAAATCTAAGTCTCAGAAGTACAACATGGAAGCGCAGTAAAGCTCTGAGATCCTGAAATGGTACAAGATTCAACAGATCATCAAACAGTATCTACATCTGTTTTCCCAATTTCTGTTCCCTATGCAAAAGAATACGTGAATATTAGTATCAAAATGTCACCAAATGTTTGTAAATATATATTACTACTTAATGCTTACACATATGAAAGTGAGATATTAAAACCATTTAAGTCAAGCTAAATAATTTAAACAATCCAGTCTAGATGGACAAAAGAGTAAGAAAGGATTGAAAGATTACCCTAAAATAAATCTGTCCTAGGTCTCTTAAACATAGCAGATTTCTATTCAGACTGTAAACTTTCTCAGTCAAGACAAAAGTAATTATACACACAAGTACTAAAAATGTTTTTTATACTAATAGTGCATGTCTGAATAAATTTCTAGTCATTTTGCTCATTATCTCTATAATATTAAGTTAAATATCCTAAATATTAAAAATAAATATCCTAACGTTAAGATCCAAATTCTATAAATATCCTAATGTTAAGATTCAAACTCTCGAAACTATGACATAGACGTAGACATACACCTAATAATAGTTCCTAAGCTTTGTTTTGGCTTAGGAGCTAATTTATTCTCTACTGCCAGTATGTTAGAAATAAGAATCCAGTACATGCTACTAATTTTACCAATTCAGAACGTATAAACAAAGGGGAAAATCTTATTTTTAAAAAACTGTTGAATTAAGTTATCCTAAGGCTTGCCAGAATAATAAATCATAAAAGGGTATTTTAAAGCAGAAATATAACAAAGGAACATTAGAAAATAAAAAATAAATCTTATTACTCTCTCCCAATTCTAGATCTTGCTTTGAAATGGCAGAAAATATGATCCCCAAAGCCCACTAATTTGAATACTGCAACAAGAGCTAGCAAATTCAAATGGTGGCTCACTCCCAGTAACACTGGTGCAGCTTCTCCACTGTGTAAACCACTCCTTTTAACTTCACTGTAACTCTCTAGGAGAGAAGAGTACACTAGTTTTATTAATGGTGCAAAAGTTTCTAGAGGTATTTAAATTTCCATCACATAAAAGGCACACTGTAAAATGCATATTGAGAAATTGTCCATATCTTCTCTAAAATGCTTATAATTTCAGGAACAGGGGAGTAGAGCCAAATATTTTAGGAAGGAAATTGAGTGGAAAAATAGGTCAGCTGTCCTCTAGTCTTAACAGTATTCCTGCCAACTATACATTTTCTTCATAATACGTATTTCAATTTACAATGACAGCCTTTTAAAGGCTGTAAAATAATATTCAAAATTACCTTTTACTAGCTGTGGCCATTCGGTGACATCAGGGTGATCACAGCTGAGTCACTGATTAAAAACAGGTTGTCACACGAGTCTAGCGGCTAACTTGATCTGATCGTAGGTTTAATAATTCTAATAAATTAAACAAATCTTCAGTTAGAACATTTTAGTATATATACCCAATTCACTGTTCAATAAATTATCTCCAAAATTTCAAATTAGGTGGCAATGAAAATTTTCTCAAAAGAATAATTATCAAAATAAAACTTTTATGGACTATTTTTCAGCACATTATTTTCTTAAAATGATGTCTTCACTTGAGAAAATGTGATATAGGTTAAATATCCCTAACGTAAAAGTCCAAGACACTTTAGAATCTACAACTTTTTACAGTCATATCAGCAACTCTGTAGTTTTGGATTTTGGGACATTTCAGACTTTGGGTTTTTGGATTAGGGATGCTCAACAACCAGTGAGAGCTATGCAAATATTCCAAAATCTCTAAAATTGACATCTGAAACCTGTCTTGGCCCCAGGCATTTTGGATAAGAGACTTAACCTACAATAATCCCTTGTATTTTTTATGTATGACTTTATAAAGCATTTTGGTCAATAGTATCTTGAGTCTCAAGATAACTATGTCTCTCATAATCAAGGCAGCTACTTTAAGAATTAAATAATGATGATGAGGAGGATGATAATGAGCCGCAGAGTGATTAATTGACTTGCCCAAGATTTAGAATTAGTGTTGAAATTAGAACTAAAACCAAGATCTACTGACTTTCTACCTAGGAGAGGATTTTTTTGGTTTGTTTTGATTTAGTTTTGCTATGGCTTTATGACTCAAATGTATAAAAATGACCAAGAATTTAGAGTGCGGACTAAGACCTGATCATTCTGGCAATAGTTTAAATGAAACTAATTTAATCACAGGATTCTTAAACTGGTGGAAAAATTCTTAATGAAAGTTTTACACACGCATACACACCCATACCCACACCAAAATCTTGTCCTCCTTATTCTGATTTAAGTAGTCGTCTAACATAAGCCAAAACCCCTTGGGCATTGCACACAAAAAATTGTATTCCACTCTCAGTCATAAACCCTTTAACTGCATTCCATTTTATTAAAGAATATAGTAAAATATGAACGCATGCTCCATCAACAAAGTAATTTTTTTCTCCCATAGATGGTCTTAACCAAACTTTCCTGAGAGTTGCAATCAGATGTAGCAAGCCTCTGTAATCATACTGTAACTATGGCAAAGATATACATTTGAAATATCTAGATCATTTCATCTAATTCATTTCTCCACTGATGACCAGGCCAAAACTAAGACATGAACTAAGGAAAGATGAGAAAATTAGGAGGGAAAAAGACCTTTCAAAATTACTACCTTCAAACTAATAGCAGACTAGCAGAGAAGGTGGTTTAATAGCACAGACCCAGAATCCAATAGAAAGCAGAAAGGTATATATGAAAACCTCAAAAAAAGGGTTAAAACAGCAATGCTTGAGCCCATACTTCTGAGCTATGAACACAGGATGCCAAATCCACTTATGGGCTACGCTTGGCCTGAGTTTAGGGAATCCCAACAAATATGATTTACACCCTATAAGAAATAATTTTCCAGATTTTCTGTCATAACTATATGTCTTAATAAGGGCCAGGCACTGCTGAGGTTAGACAGCAAACAGGCAACAGCGCTGTTTGAAATGAACAGTGTGATGACATCGTTAGGTCCGTGTTGCTTCTCATGAGATCAATCACATATGTGAATTTATAAGAACCAAATGAGTCAAACTTTCCAACTTTTAATCACAAAAATTAAAATGTTAAAATATCTTTAATTGGTTTATTAAACAATACGTATTTTGAAAATTACTAACTCAAGTACTCTCCTCAGTCTCCACTTTTACAGGGTCCTGTGCTCGACAGAAGACAAACAGGCTCCAAAAGCCAGTCTAGATTCATGTCCCTGTCTAATTACTTCTAGCTGGGAAATCTTGGGCAAGTTATTTAACCTCTCTGAGCCTCCATTTCCTCCTAGAAAGAATTAAGATAACAGTAGTATGGGTTGTCATGAAGATGAACTAGCTAAGACCTAAACTGCTCACAGAAGTGCCTGGCATTTTATGCACTCACAAATGGAAGCAAGTATTAATACCTACGGCCTAAAAGCAAAATGTACCCCTCAACCTTTTTAAACATGTTATTTTACATCTATCTCATAGCACACTAACCTCCTGTTAATTCTTTTGGCACATCACTTGGGTCCCTCATACAGTCTACCTGGTAGCACAGTTATTTCCCAACTAGTACAATGCTTTAAAGATGACAGATGCCCTAATTTACTGTACGCAACTGTCATTCTTAGTGTAACATTAAGATAATTCATGCAATATGAATTTCAAAAAATAAAACAGAAACATACCATATTTCGCCAAACTTCTGAGGAGCTGGTGAATTCTAAAATCAGCCTCTTACAGATTTTTAACCTAAAATATAAAACACCTCACTCAATTCTTTTTATATAGACATCTGGATAAACTTTCAAAAAATTACTAGAATTCATTATAAAACCAAAGCAAATTCATCTTCCATAATATTTATGAATACCCAAAAATATATCAAAAGACAATTATCCTGCTGTTGTTGCCAGAATGTGTGGCAGGGTGATTAAGTAGGCCTTGAGGCCTGAATGCTTTCAGCTGGCAAAACCATGTTTCCCATTTTCATCCACAAAGCTTAGCACTTTCTATTTCATTATCCTCCCTAAAATTAGGCTAAAAATATATGAAAACTGCTTGACTATATGCCTCTAGTCCCTTCTGACACTTGAGTAATTTTGCTTTGCATTAAATTCTGTATGTTGATCATTTGCTATGTAAAAATATGGATTATCTACTACCCAGTCCTAGAGTAATAACTACTGGCAGTTCCTTTGATCTCTTGAGTCTCAAGTGTAAGGCTGCTATATTAGAGAAAATGTACTTAAAATGCTTTTTTAAAAAAAGCATATATAACACGTTTCTATCACATGACAGGGCCTCAATACACTCAATACGATGATCATACTTAAACCACTGAACTAATAAAACTTAATTCTTACCTCTCCAAAAAAAAAAAAAAAAAAAAAAA